AGATGGTCTGGGAACAAGATCCATACAAAAAAAACATTCAGAGAAACACCACCATGAAAATCTAGCAGGAAATGGGTCAAAGTGCCAAATACAAGAACAGAATACCCAGTAATACAATATAAAACCAATTTAATGGAATAGTAAATTTAGGTGTTTCCAGAAGAGAGGGCATCTTTTAGACCTGTCTTGAAGGCCACGATGGTCAGCATTATGGGCAGGGGGGCTGGAGCCTCACCCGGGAAACAGAGGGCACAAGGCCGTGGTGCACCCTGGGTAGTATACCGGCTCATTCCACACCCAGGCACTGGCTGCAGGGAAATCCACATCCCAGAGCTGAGGCAGGATTGCGAGCCCCGCTTCAGAGGCGCGGCCACTGCGCTTCTCACTGCTCCCCGCTTCGGAAGCGCGCCCACTACACTTCTCAGAGCCCCGCTTCGGAGGCATCGTCACTGCGCTTCTCACTGCTCCCTGCTACGGAGGCGAGTGGCCACTGCGCTTGTCACTGAGCCCCGCTTCGGAGGCGCCGTCACTGCGCTTCTCACTGCGCCCCCTCAGTTTGAAGCAGCGACACGGCACTGTTTGCACAACACTGTGTGCTTTTAAAAGCACATGCTTAATTGTTAGCAATCATCGAATCACAAGTAATTAATTTCTGCTGGTCCAATTACTCACTACCTGATTGAGACGCTGCCATCTCCCCAAACATGCCACCCACTCGCCCTGCAGCCCCCCCCCCAGGGACATTTGCACTGCAGCTTTGTCAAACCCACCCTGAGTGACAAGGTGAGAGGCATCCTGCTCGACAGCGGCCCCTACCTAAACACCACCTCTAACTGTCCCATGGGGACGGGCTGCTGTGGAATGCCTGGCTCTGCAGCTATTTCCCTACCCCCTCCCCCCCCCCCCCCCCCCACCCACAGGAACTTTTACTAAAATGATAGGCAGCACGATCACTTTCTGTCCATGCTGCTCAAACCTTAAACCCTGCAGAAACCTAAAAGCTCAAACTATTTAATAAATGAATGTTGCTCACTGTTAAAACATGACCAAAAGAAGACCATTTACATTACAAGGACTTTCATTATCCAGTCAAAGACAAAAAAAAAAACAGATTAAAAGTGTGCGGAGGTGAATCAGTAACCCTGACGGCCCATTTGCGAGTGTTTGCTTGTGTGTCACCTGCCTGCCACAGACAGCGTCCTGTTCACGTTTCCCAATGCCTCAGCCCTGATTCCGGAAAGGGGTTGCATCTTGCTTCCGTGGGAAGAGAATGGTGTCTTAACGCATCTTAAAATACAACTCTACTGATTGGTATGCAATCCCATGATCTATATCTCAGTGTATGTCCTAGGTCATGAGGTCCTACCAATCAGGAAAGGTATCATTCATCAGCTAGACACCGTCTGTCTTAGTCACGCCCTGGGGACACTTTTTACAGTGACGTGGAAATCTCAAAAGTAAAGGGAAACTCCAGAAAGATAATGTGTGGTGGAAGGTGACGTCACCGCTTCGTGACTGTCCCTTTAATACGGTATATGCACCGGGTCACAGCGCCACAAGGGGGCGTAAAAACCCAGTGTGACTGATGTGTGGGCGGAGCCTGCGTGATCCCATTTGGACTGAGAACAGAGGCTGTAGAGCAGATCCAGGTGACCCACTTACAGCCACGGAAATGCCCAGAAGCCACAGTGATTACACCGTCGCTCAGCCTGGGGGTGGGGGGGGAGGGGTGGGTGGCTGCCTGGTGCAAAGTGGAGCGGCCCAAAGCGACCAATCACAGGGAGGACTTACAGATGAGTTCCAGATTAGGGCTGTCCTCCAGAAAAGCAACACAGAAGGGTCAGCTTGCCTATCTGCTGCATTTCGTTAGGTCTGTGTGTTCCCGTGCGTGTTCCCTGTCACTCATGGTTGCCCACAGGTGTCCTGTTACCACTTCACTCAGACTCACACGACATTCCAATTGTACTACGATGAGCACCAGTGAAAGCCCTTCCTGATGATCTCCAACATCAGGTGACTCAGTTGTCAGAAGGTTCACTGACACACATGGGGATTTGCGTGTGTGTGTGGGTGTCAAGGAGATGCTGACCGAGTCAGACCTAAGTCGGTCATTAGATTTGTGTCACTCTCACACGGTCCAGAAGGCGACCTGAACAACATTGGGAGTCACCAGAAGTGCATTCTACAGGAAGAGAGAGGGACCAAAAAGAGCTTGAAGCAGATCGCACATCTCCAGCTTATAGAAGCCAAATGCTATTCCCAGTCAGAGGAGGAGATTTCAGGTCCAAACAGTACAAATAGATGATTTCGTTTCAACCAACCAGTTGAATATAAAGAGTCATAATCACAGAGTACTCAACTAGTTGGTTGAAACGAAATCTTGGTCTGGATTTGTACTCTCTGGACCTGAAATCTCGACCTCTGTTCCCAGCACTTTAATTCCATAAGCAGCAGATACAGACAGATATATGTAATTCCTTTTTAATCATTTTCTGCAATAAACTCAGATTAATCCAGTCTTACCTTCATTAGTCATCCTATCAAAGGTAATAATTGATCCATTTGACTCTGTTCCCTCTAATGGCAGAGAATAATGGTCATAAAGTACAAAATTAGACAGATGTTCCCAAACGCAGGTGCGAGGTTTAAAAACGCCGGAGGTGTTGCCACTCTGCAGTGTGCGTGACACGGCATGTGTGGACAGGCTCAGCACCATGTCAGTTCGCCAGCTTCAGTGCTGGGTTTAACCTCACCGTGTGTTTGATGCTGGAATACCGGCATGAAATTAACGGCATCAACTCCTCATAAAGGCCATTAAACGATCGGGGAGTGAAGGTCAGCTTGTTCGCATGGTGGAGGTAACAAAGCCACGATGAACCTCACCATAAAACTGTGGCTTATCTTAGCAGGATATTCAGGTTAATCCAAAATACCCTCGATTTTACAGGTTAAGATATAGATCACTGCGTTATCGCTGTCGACTGTAATGTACCAGGAAACCTGCTCTGACTGATGGATCTCAGCCCCCCCTTCCTCCTCTTCAGGCCTAATAAGACCCCCCCTGGATCCCAACATCTCCTACCACAGCATCCCAGCAAACCGGCTCTTCCCCCAGTGCCTGGAGCCTGGCCCCAGGCCGCCCCCCCCCGCCACAGAGGAGAATGAGGGAGAACCTGGCTCACAGCAGCATCCTACAGCGCCCCCTGGAGACTCTGCCCTGCAGGTACATTCTGCATGTATTATACATCAGGCCCCAGTGATGGAAGGAGCAGCTTCTGAAAGGCACAGTGGGTAGGCTTACCACACGCTACCAGTGCAGAGTTCAGTCCACTGGACACTGCGGCTTCCTATCCACTGCGGCCATCAAAGCCTCCTGCATCGTTCCCAGATGGCATTGCGGTTTTTCACCAACCCAAGGTCAGTGGGTTCGATACCAAGCCCAGCCCCATGTGTGCATGTGATACTGTACACTGCACCTCAGGGCTTGTGCTTCCTCTCCACATCAGCACACTTTGTAAAAGTAGCTAGTAAAAATATACTAGTTCTCAACCTTTTCTGCACCGCGACCCAATCTTTACCATGCCTTCTCATATGAAGTATAGGTTTGAATTACTGCTATGATCAAGCACGCAGCGCGCTCTGCAATTACACCAATCAATGCCAATCGCACGAATCTGATTGGACGTGCCAGTGAATTTTAAATGAAGCATCTGTGGTTCGGCTTGTTGGATTGGTCGACTGTTCACTAGTTTTGTTATAAGCATTTGCAGACCTAAGACCTGTTTAGATTTCAGGACTGGGGCTGGGAAATCTGATGGTGGATCAGCGTAGGAGCTTGCAGGTTTTAAAATGGTTACATATCCAACTCTGCCTGGTGACCCTTTCGGAACTTGCTGAGACCCAAAATAGGGTCATGACCTATGGGGTGCGAATCACTGATCCAAAGCAACTTACACTAGAGGAGTCACAATTTATACGTGCTTCTTGGGTTTCAAACCTATCACCCCTTGTTACTCTACTTGTCCAGCTACAGCCACTATGTGATATTACACAGTAACAGTTTAAACTGCATGTGACGTTACAGTAAATGGATGCTACACAAAGCTCACAACTACAGGTACGCATTAACCTGCCCCGGAGTCTGGTTTCACAGTACTGACCAGGTGTCAAGCCGTCAAAATCCACTGACAGCCAATCAGACCTCCATAACACACACTGTGCCCAACTTCCTGTAATGAGAAATACACAGGTTTGTGATCCTTGCCTATGCAAACAGACTAAACACGGGAATAGCTTCTCTCTGCGGAGTCTGAGACGTCGACGCAGCCTCTCGCACATCCATCAGACGGTGTGTTTGACTCCACGTTACCAGAAGCCTGACGACGTGCCCGTGATTAACTATGTCTGACAGCCCAGGACAGGATGTGTCCTCAAAGCCCATCCCACTGGGGCTGAGCTGCCGACGTGAGTGGAGCAGCCAGCCGTCTCTCACGGAGCCCATCTCGGTCACCCAGGAGACGAGGCTGACCTCCGGGGGTCAGGAGCCGATCGTCCTGGGGCTGGCAGCTCCCAAGGACGCGGCCCGTCCTTTCTGCCCCAGTGCACTCTGGGAACTGGCAGAGCGGGCTGGCTGCTCTCCCGGGGGTCCCAGGAGAAATCAGACCAGCTACTGGGGAAGGAGGCGAAGAGCAGGAGAAATAAAACATCAGAGGCGAAGGACTGTAGCAGAGTCACTGCAGGGAAAGAGGACTTTACAAAACACACTGATGCATCATTACTCTCACTCCGGAATGAAAAACACATGCAGAGTGTACATTAAGCAACCAGCATCATTTGAGACCCATAACGGACTGGTAATAACCATTCCTCAAATTATTCATGAGCACAGACCACAGAAATAACTGTAAACAATGTTCTCTGTAATCCAAGATACAGGACATAGAGTTGATTTTACATTCATGTCACTAAATATAATTCTGGATTAAAAACTTTCAAAAAAGTTGGAATCAAGAAGTTTTATTTCTCCATATGCACCAATGTCTACACAGCAGAAAAGGGGATTGTGATTGGCTGACGTGGCCCAAGCAGAGAAGTGACTGGACAGGGAGCAGGCGGTGGCTACGATTGGTAGGTTGACGGAGGGGAGGAGCCGTATCGTGGCCAAGTTGCTCACCGGCTGGTACTGGTGCCGGTCCAATGGCGACGGCGTGATGCTGCTGTGCCGTAAGTGTGGGCTTCACACTTCATTTGCCACCACAAGGAAAGACAAACGTCGTCACAGCAGCTCCAAAATCAATGCACAGTAGACGGCTGTCACCACAAAGTACATCCTACTGCAGCGTGACAGACTAATAAAAAAATATTTTTAAAAAGCAGGAGTACATAACCTATGTTCTCTCTCCCCCACCCCCAAGAACTAAAAAAGTGGAAAATGGAAAAAACACAACTGGGTTATAATAAAGTTATATACATATTTTTTAATCGGACAACTGCAAAGACAAATAGTGGCCACTAGATGCCGCCAGAAACATAATTCACAGCAGCTTTTCTCGCTGGCCTTTCTTAGTGCAGTATCACAGGCATTAGAAAAGTTTGAGTCATTCACGTCAGGCTGAGATCAAACCAGAGACAGACCAAACACAGAGGCATGTGAAAGCAAAAGAAAGCACATCTGTAACGGGTCCTATTAAATATCACAAGCGCTCAAGACAGACAGACAGACGAGAGGGATTTCTCCGATCTAGAACATCCATAAAATCCAATTTAAGGCAGATCGGCAGTGAGCGAGAGCCGCGAGTAAGAATCCATAGAAAAAGCTGATCTTCGGACCACCACCAGGAGGAGCCAAAGGAAGCAAACCGCATGGCGTGTGCTCCCCGTGGAAGTGGCAGGGGTACGGGCAGCCCTGCCATGCGTGCTGCGCTCGCAGGTGGCACCGATCGCACAGAGATGCATCTGCGGACCCCAGCCCTTGGTGACGTGCGTCGCGCCTCCTCGGAAAAGCTGGGTGCCAGGTTTAACTTGGGGGTGGGCAGACGAAGGAAGCCCCATTCCCTGTACTAGACCTCCCCCCCCCAGCCCACCTTCTGCGTGTGGCTGTCATGCAGGTGGCATTGTGTGGTGCCAGGCACATTAAATCCTGCTTAACGACAAAATAAGCCGGTGAATTCCACCCCCCATACATACCAGAGAAAAGATAATCACCAGGCATGCAGAGTCCTATGCACCGAAAATGCTGTCATCCCTCCCAAAATCCAACGACCCCCCAATTTAGCACACTTTGCTTCGATCACCAGGGCTTTCAGCAGCTAAACAAGTGCTTCCCCTGGAGAGCCCAACCTCCAGTGGCAAGAAAGAGAAAGCCCATTGGCTAGCCCATAGACCAATCAACATGAAGAAAGCCCATTGGATACTCCACAGATCAATCAACACAAAAACAGCCCATTGGACATCCCGTAGGTCAGTTACCACAAACACATGACCCTGTCAGCTGACAGACTACTTTTTAACCCCACAACCCAGACTAGGCCTAGATTTGACCCTACAAAATAATTGTTTTGATCACATGGTCTCCATCCAGTATCTTTGGGAAGGTTCTGAAAACCGAGAAAGTTAACCGCAGAAAGACGAGTCTTTTGTGGAAGACAGAAGCAGCAACAGTACAGAGTGAAGAAATGCACTGGGTTGGCTCCCCTGAGGGTGAGGTGGGCGGGGCCACACTCTGCCATGCCCAATCACCGCCTCCACCTCCGAGCCTCACCCACACCCTATCGTCTCGGTCCCGGACTCAGACTGAGTCCAGGGTCTCAGTCCGTTTTCTTTATCCACTCCATGTCATCGCTGCGCGGCTTGTGGCCTGTCAAGCTGTCAATCAGACACTCCATCTTCCTCCAGAAGCCCACATAGTCAAGGGGGTAATTCAGCCATCCTGC